AGGAGACCCCCTTCTGACTCCCTGCTTCTGGGAGGAGACGGGCAGCCCTCTAGCCCGCAGAGGGCTCCCCGTTCTCTCTGTGCGGGACCCTTCTGGGCTCCTTGGGGCAAGGGATCCCCTGGGTGGTGGCCTTGGGATTTGGGACCAAGCACTTCCCTCCAGCCAAGGGGTGTGTGTGTGTGCGGATCCTCCAGACTACTCTCCCAGCCACTGGGAAAGGTCTGTCTCTCGCCCTGTTGGCAGCAAAGATGTGCCTGAAGAACATGCGCATCGGTCTATGTTGTAAGCGAAAAGTCCACCGGATCTGCACCGAAGCTCCATTTCGGTTCTCTTTCCGCCCACCAAAGGGGAGTTTGGCTAGAAAGAGGCTTAGCTTAGCCGGCCAGCGGCGGGGCGGGCATAAGAAGGACCGTCCTGCAGAGCAGTTCTTCACCCCTCTAGCCGGGTCTCGGGCAGATAACTTCCATCACCGAAAACCTCTTTTAAAAAAAAGGAAATCTGGAGACGCTTGTTCTTATACCTGCTCGGCCCTCTTGGGAGGAGAGAAGAGGCACTTGTTCTCCCCTGCAGCTCTAAATTTTTTTAAAAAGGTTGACTGCTTCTCCCCAGGGAGGTTCTCTCTGCAGTGTGTGTGTGTGTGTGGGAGGGTCAGTTTGCCTCTGCTTCTGCCGCCACTGCCTTGGGCTGCTTCCCCTCCTCTACCCAGGCAGAGATGGGTGGATTTCAGCCCATCATCATTATCAGGTGGTGATGATGATGAGCTGAAAGCAGAGCCTGGCCTCTGGGGACAAAATGTCACTCCTTTTCGCACACCCCTCGAACCCCCAGGGCTCTTGCCACGTCCATCCTCGAACTCAGAGCTGGGAGAGAGTCCGTCTTCCACATGTGGCTGAAGATGACAGGCTTTCCCCCCGCTCTGCTCAATGGAATGCAAAGCCCCCTGGTTTGGGGGCTTCGGCGGGTGGGGCAGACCTCATTGCCCTCTCCAAGCAGCCCTACAAGAGAGCAGACCCTCGCTCCCTCCAAAGCCCCCCCCAGAGGTGATTCCGGGGAGCCACCTTGGGGCCAGGAAGAGGGAGGGCCACACACGCAACAGTCCCCCCCCCCGGCTCCCGGAGGCGAGCGTATGGGTCGGGGGTTTTGCATTCAGGGACTCCGCTGTGCACCGGGAGGTGGGAGGAGAGGAGAGCTTGCCAGCTGTGGAAGGGCCCTAAGTTTTTAGCCCACATCGTTCAGCGCACCGAACACCCTATGGCTCCCCCGAGCAGAGGGTTGGGATGGGAGGGCTGTTCGGGGCCAGAACCCCTTAAACCCAGATATCTGGGCCAGGCAGCGAGGGTAGTGGTGAGGAGGAGGAGGAGGAGGAGGATGAGCTGCGAACCAAGAAGCATGGGGTGTCATCGTGCGAGGCACTCCTCATGCTTAGGTGGCAGCCCCACCGGGCTCTTTCAGCCTCTTGGGGAAGAGGAAAACGCCATGACGTTCTGAGTGTTTTTCATGCCATCTCTCTTGCTGTGCCTCCTGTCAAACAACGAAAGGATGATGTCAGCCCAGCCTTACAGGGTTTGGTGGGAGTCTTCTTCCCCCCCTCCCCGGTCCATAAGACCGCTCGGAAAGGTGCAAGGCAAAGGCAGTGGCGGTGGCTTAGATTAAGAATCCCACCCTTGTCCACCGATTATTATTTCTAGGCCAGCCACGGTGATGATGGCACGCCTTTGGGTCCCGACTCCCTGGCGGGTGGCCCTCATCTTTCGTTTCTCTCGACTCATACACAGACCCGAGTTGGAGAGAAAAGCGAGAGAGCGCGAGCCTGGGGTTTGAGCGGATGTGGAGCCCCCTGGGAGAATCTCAGGGGACCTGGGGCCGTGGGCGAGCTTCCCTGCCGGGAGGTGGGGGGACGAGAAGGGCGCCTTTTGTTCCACGTCTCTTCTGCCGCCTCTTGCTGAGGCATAAGCAAATATTTGAATATAATCTCCCGGAGGGATAGAATCAATACGCTTCCGTTGTTATCCAAACCTATTTTTACTCCTGCGATAAGTAGGGCGAGGAGAGGAGAGGAGAGGAAGGCCAGGTTTAAAATAGGAGTAAAGATGAATCCCTGTAATGGTTTATATATGTGCATAAGCACATAATCTTTATGTATGCATGTATATGTGTGTGTGTGTGTACATACACACACACACACACACACATATATATATACACACACATATATATATATATACACATACACACACACACATAGTGGTGCCTCGCTTAGCGATCGCTCCGTTGAGCGATGAAATCGCTTAGCAATGGGGTTTTGGCCATCGCCAGAGCAATCACTTAGCGATGGCCCCTATGGGGAAAAATCGCTTTGCGATGATCGCGAGGAAGCGATCATGGCAAAGCGACCCTTTTTGCACAGCTGATCAGCAGTTCCAAAATGGCCGCCCGCTGTTTTGCCTCGCTTAGAGGCACCGAAAATGGCCGCCCCTATGGAGGATCTTCGCATAAGGTCAGTTTTTAAGCCCATAGGAACGCATTAAACACGTTTTAACGCATTTCTATGGGCTTTTTAAAATCGCTTAGCGATTAAATCACTTAGCAACATTTTTCCTGGAATGGATTAATGTCGCTAAGCGAGGCACCAGTGTGTGTGTGTGTGTGTGTGTGTGTGTATTTGTTTATTCGATTTATATCCCGCCCATCTGGTATATTCTACCACTCTGGGCAGCTTACAACAGACACACACACACACACAGAGGTTCTAACCTTTCCTAGAATTTGCAGTGCGGAAAAAGCACAAATTAAATTATATATGCATATGTGTGTACAGTGGTGCCTCGCTTAGCGATGTTAATCGGTGCAGCAAAAATCACCGCTAACTGAAAACATCGCTAAACGATTTTTAAAAGCCCATAGGAATGCATTGAAACCCCTTCAATGCGTTCCTGTGGGCAAAAAACTTACCTTTAAGCGAAAATCCTCCATACGGCGGCCATTTTCGCTGCCCGGTATGGGAGGAATCCGTCCCAAAACACAGCGGGCGGCTATGTTTTTTACCCGGCGGCCATTTTGGAACCGCCGATCAGCTGTTGGGAAAAGATTGCTATGCGAAAATCGGTAAGCGAAACAGCTTACCGATCATCACAAAGCGATATTTTCCCATCTAAATCATCGCAATGTGATCGCTTTTGCGATTGCAAAAACCAGATCGCTATGCGATTTCGTCGTTAACCAGGGCGCTCATTAAGCGAGGCACCACTGTATATGCATTTAAGCACACTCACATACTTGCATAATTGAATTCTTGGGAAAGTTGTCCTTGAAGGCTGTAAACTTCCTCACCACCCATTTCTTTTTAATAGCTCTGTTTAGGAACAACCCTAAGCAGCCACCGAAGAGATGCATTTCAAGGAAAAACCTGAAACCTCTGCTCTTGCATTTGGAGTAGTCAAACCTTGGCCTTCCTCGGTATCAAAGAGTCAGGTCGGAGATGATGGGATGAAGGGGGGGGGCCCCTTCTCTTATTTATTTGATGCTTTTTTATTCCACCATTCTCCATCAAAAGATGGGAGGCGGCTTATATTGTGAAGAAAGATAGCTGAAAACAATGCATTATTCACACATTGAAACAGAATTAAATCAACATTGTGTTAAAAAGGTTAAATAAAAGTATTATTAATTAAAAGCAACAAAATGCTAACCGATCCTGAATTTAAATCCCCCCCTCAATCAGCCAGCCTGTCATTAGGGGAAATCTTGGCCTGCCGGCGGAAGGAGCACCAAGAAGGGGCCAAGCTGGCCCCTCCAGTGGCAGGAAGTTCCCGAGTCTAATGGAGCCTCCACAGAGAAGCCGGTCCTCCCTGGACCCTCTTCACACCTGTGTGGGCTCTTGCCAGAGACCTCCCCAAAGAGGGTCCCAGTTTGAGGGCTCAGATCCCAGCTGGACCAGTTTGAAAAGGCTCCCGTTGTGGGGTAGCCGTTTGCTCGGTCCCTCTGAGCAAACCGCGCCGGGCCCGCCTGGGTGAACGCAGGCCAACGAATGCCGCTTCCTCGCGTGGAGAGGAAGCCGGAGAGGGCCTATTAATAATCATGAATAGGATCATTAATAATAATCCTTGACGGTGTGCCCTCCAGTCAGTTCTTATGGATGGCGACCCTTTTCAGGGTCTTCCCGGGAGAGAGTCCTCCGAAGTGGTTTCCCTTCTTCTGGGATGGGCAGCTTTTACCCAAGGCCAACCAGGCTGGCTCCCCCCCCCCCCCCCAGAGAGAGCGCGCAGTGGGAAAGGCCAGGGGCATGTTGAGCAGGCAAAGGCCTCGATAAAGGGGGGGGACTCCTTCTGGCCCCACCGGCTTGTCTCTGACGGCTCACCCCAAAGCGAACTCCTCCATCTCTCAGGCTGCAAGTCCGTCTGTTGTGGACGATGGGCTATCCAGTCGCCCACGACCCCCCCCCAAAGGAGCCCTCTCCGAAAGGTCCCGTCCTCCGCAGCCCTGCTCAGCTCTTGCAAACTCGAAAGTCGTGGCTTCCTTTAGGTATTCGGTTCATCTCGTGTTGGGTCGTCCTCTTTCCTGTGGCCTTCATTTTTTCCCGACATGATGGTCTTTCCCAGGGAATCCTGCCTTCTCATGAGGTGACCAAAGGAGGACAGCCTCCGGTTTCAACCTTCTTTATCTCCAGAGAGAGTTCAGGCTTACTTGGACCTAGGATCTTTAATCTGTATTTATTTCTTACATTTTTAACTTTGCCTTTCCCCCCGGTCATTTTGAGGAGTTGTCCCCTCTAAAAGAGGGGAGAGACCAACCCCCGTGGGATGGATCAAGCTGAGAGGGGCTTATGAAGGGAGGGCCGGGACCAACCGGGGCTTCCTCTAAGTCGTAGCCTGGATCTCTCACCACTGTACCACGCTGCCTCTACCCAAGTCTTTGTGCTTGTGGGGCAGCCACGGCTTGACCCACTAGGAGGGCGAAAGGGTGGAGGGCAGCTTTTTCTTCCCTTTTGGGCCCACGCCGGGGCTGTCGAGGGATTCAGGATCGACCCAAGCCTCACCACCTTCTCGGCACCCTTTCGCCGCACCCCTCCGGGCACAACCTTTGCCCTGAGCTTGGGTCAAATCTGGCAAAGTCTGACATTGCAGGGAGCAAAACGGGAGGAGTCTTCCTCTGTGGCCAGTCTCGGGGAGCACCCAGGAGCCCTCTTTCAGATGGCTCTTGACTCGTAATGCTTCGTTTCTTATCCTCCATGCCAGCGAGCCATCTGCGTCGTATTAATGACCGTGAGCCACAAGGGATGTTGGGTGGGGGGCTCTATCGCTTGGTTCCTCTCGAGGAGTCCGCAGGGCCACGGCCTGATCCCAGCTTTTGCTGTTCTTGGGAATCCATCAGTTCTCGTTGTTAGTTAGGAACATGGAACCTTCATGTCCAGGGACAGTCTACCCCCAAAGTCCCCTTGCGAGGAGCAGGGGTGAAGGGAGACGTCTGTCAGGTGGGCATTCTGCCTGCGGGCATCCCGTTTGGGGTGAGATCTGGAGCCGTTGGTTCCCAAGTTCCTCTGGCTGCTTCCTCCGCCACGCCACCCCACCCCACCCTGTTGAGTTTACCCGTCTCACTTTTCCTCTTGTTTTGGCTCCAGCTGGTTTCGGAAGAAACACGCCCAAACCGATCCCCCGGTCCCGATCCCGCCGAGCCCAGAGACGAAGGACAGGTGGAGGAGCATGACAGTGGTGCCTTACCTTGAGGACCTGCACGGCTACAGCGAGGAAGAGGATGAGGACTTGAAGGATGATTACCTGGAGGACGAGGTCATATATACTCAGGACTTCACAGTGCCAGGTACGGGGCGGGGGTGGGTGGGCAAGAGGGTGTCCTGAGAGGAGCAGGCAGGGCCACGGGGCGCGCAAGGCTGAACGGTCAGCGGGTTGGCCCTCTGGCTTCTGCCCATCCGGAGGCAGACAGCCGTATGCCCATCATCCCCAGCCGGCTGGGGATGGTGGGAGATGGTCACGTCCATAAGCACAATAAACCCCTGGTGGAACCTATTATGGGTTGAATCAGGGCCCTCTTTTTTTTCCCCTCCCCTCCCTCAAAACTGGGTCTCTTAAGGGGTCCCACGAAAAGATTAAAATCAGGGCAGGAAAAATACTGAAGAAAATTAAAATGTTAGAACACGGTCAAGTGAAGAATAAAGCGGAAACATTCTTAGCCTGTTTGTAGTTTCCAGAGTTTTTTTGAGTGGGTCGGTTTCTTCCCTGCCCACAAATGTGGTCCGTGTGGAAATTTTAAAGTAGGGGACCCATCGTTTGCAGAAAGCAAAATGACTGTCTGTCGTTCAGTCTTTCTTTTCTTTATTCGTATCATAGCATTGCATAAAGGGTGAATTAAAAGCAAATTAAGATGTCACAATAATTAGACTTTTTGACCAGATGTGGGCTGCTTCCATGATGTTCTCTCAGCCGTTTGCTTGATCTTCCGCTCTACCCCGTGGCCTGAACTGCCAAAGCTGCTTTTGGGGGGTGGGAGGGAGTCAGCCGTGCAGAGCGTGCTTGCACAGATCCGTGACAACTGCTTGCCATGTCTTTCAGGGATCTACTCACAGGGTGGTTTGGGTTGAAGCAGATGTGTTGGGAGCCCAGTGGGATCGGCCCGTCATCTGGGTTAGCCACATGGAGAAGTTCCCTTTTTTTCGGCCTGAGTGAATTGTTACGCTGAGTCAGAGGCCAAGAACCTCCATTTTGGACTTGACTGCCCATCAGTCCAATTCACCGAGACCAGTACATATTAAAAGCTTGTGCCAGTTATCACCCAAAAATGTCTGGAAAGTTGAAAATTCCCGGTCCTGTTCTAGGCTTTCTGCAGGATAATAAGCTACCTTTTGGACCCCTAGCACAGTGTCATGGATGGTGCAATGGACTCAAGACTCAAAGAGACCAGGGTTCGAATCCCCACTCAGCTAGCCCTGGCAAATCTTGCAAAGGTGGAACTGGCAAAACCATTCTTCAAGCATCTCCCCTTGAAAACTATATTAGGGTCTCTATAAATCCATTCTGACCCAAAAGCCTGTAACACATATTAATTGGCTGATTACCTCTCTCACTGGCTGTGGGGCACGGGGGGGGGGCTCACAGAACTAGAAACCCTAGTTCTAAGCTTTCAAGTCAGAGAACAAACAGCTCAGAAAGAGATCTGTTTACAGTGTGTTACCAGAGTCATTAAAATTTTCCTAACTACGTATTTAGAACTCATGATCTAGTAATCGTTGAACAACCAAACGGTCAGTTTTATAGTTTCTTGTTGCATTGAGTACATTAATTCATTACCCTCGTTTCCAGCCATTCTAAGCCATGCATTAAAGCTTGCCCGCTTAATCAGCCGAGGAGTTAACAATTTTGAGAACACACTTAACAGTTTCTTCATGTACAAGAATTCCACAATGAATTCCAAACCCTTGACATGCAGATTTCCCTGGTGGCGTCCCGTGAATGTCTTGGCATTCACACTCTCAAGCTGTGTGTGCCCTTGGGGGGGGGCTCAGGAGGGGGGCCCTCTTGTGCCTGGGTGGACCTGATCTGCCTGTACTTTCTCCCCTGGGAGGTAAGGAGGGACCTCTTAGCAGGGGTTTCTGACCTAAATCAACATAATTGGGTGCCGTCAAATCAATTCATGGGGTTCTCTGGTAGAGGGGATGCTCAGACATGGTTTCCCCTTCCTTTCTACTGGGGACTCCCCATGAAAACCCAAGGCTACCCAGGCTTGCTCTTCTCCCGGGAGGCCCAGTGGGGGATTAGAACTCACAACCTCCGGCTCTGTTGCCAGGAACCTGAATCGCTGAGCTATTCAGCCTTCTGACCCCGGGGGCCTTCCTTTTAAAAAAGGCAGGTTTGGGGTGGACCATTAGGAGAGATGTCGTGATGGCTCTCAAGCGGCCGCGGCCCCTGGAAAAGGCATCTTTTGGGGAAGGCAGAAGCAGAAAGGGCTCCAGCTCTGGATTTTGTGGCCTCTGCCTGCTCTCCTTTCTGCTCTCCTTCCCAAGGCTATTTTGAAGGCCAGCTTTTCCAAAGCCGTTCATGAAGGACTGAGCCTGTTGACTCACGCTTCTCCCCTGAAGGTTATTTTATTTTTTCCATCTCGCTCTGTTCCCCCTTTGCTATCTGACAGCAGCCTGAGTGTCTTTTACGTTGCAGGCGGTAGGCGGGTAGGTTTGGGGGGGGAGCGTGCCTGCGCACCCAGGGATCTGGCGCGGGAGGAGAGAGGGGAAGGGTTCTGGCTGAACACCAAAAGAGCAGATGGCTGGAGGGTTTTCAGTGTCACTTCAATGTGCACTGGGGGGGGGGAGAGAGNGGGGGGGGGGGGAGAGCAAGAGACCAAGCGTGTGGAAAGGATGGGAAGAGAGAGGCTATGCCGGACTTTCCCTCTAGCCCTGCTTCTCTCTCTCTCTCTCTCTGAGCCTTTTCTTTGGGTCCTCTTGAATCCTTGACATTTTTAAAATGTTGCCCATTTCTAAGGCTGTCGCGGCCTCTCCTGGCCGTGCTTCAAAAACAGAGCCCCAGTCTCTCCCCTGGAAGTTCCAAATCCGTGGCAGTTAAAACTAAACCCGGTGGATCTCTGTGTCGTCATCGCTCTCCCTCCTCCTGTTCGCAGTTCTTTTCCCCGGCACATCCTGTACCCAGGTCGGTGATGAGAAGTCGCTGGTTTTGCTGCCTGGCGTGACACCAGTGTCTGCTCATGGCAGGGGAGGTGAAGGGAGCGCTACCCGAGGCAAGACGCCCGCCCACCCTCCGTCACTCAGAAATCTTTTTCGGGCGCCCCTTTCGGTGGCTGGGATTTCACTCGATCCCCCGCGGCCTCTCAGTGGAAACGAGAAACAGGAGTGCCGAATCCTACGGCGTGGGGGAGAGCTGGGTGTTTGCCCCACGGCGCTCCCTTCCTGGGACCCCCAAAGGTCTCCCGTAGGTTCCCTCCCGCCTGTGGCTTCTCTGCCATCTGACAGGAACCAGGAAGGTTTAAAGGGACGGATGTCCTCCCAACCATCCCGTGTTTGGACGGGACGGCCCTTGGGGATCCCTTCCGCGTTAGCCGTTCTAGGATGATCTGTACTCTCCCTGGACGATGACATCTTGTTTGATATTTTATCAAGTCCACCTTCTGGCTGTCCTCCCCTCATTTCTGTAGCTGTAAAGCAGCCCTTCTCAATGGGGGCCATACGTCCCCCTTGGGCGGCAGCCAGGGATATATAAAGGGCGGGGGGGCGCAGACAGGAACCAGTTCTCCCCACACCGGCTTGTAAGGTTCATTATGTGGCTCCT